TATATATATATATATAGGATACCAAAATAAGAGATGCCAGAGAAGCAGCCTTCCACTGCCTTAAGAAATTTTCCCCTGGTGGTTAGGTTCCTGTAAGTGTTTTTTCACTGTTTATTTCTAGTACTTTGGTTATTTTTCAAGGCAAAATAATATATCTGCCAAAATCAAATGAGATTCTTTCCTTGCTGACTTGAAAGAAACCAGGAGGTTGCCATTCACAAGCTCATTTGCTCTATTTCCTTTTTTTCCTGAAAGGTTTTAGAAATAAAAATCTTGTTTTCTTGAGGAGGATAGTATTTCCTTAAAAATAGTCTTAATACCTCCCTTTGTTCTTTCAAATTGTTAACTTGTAAACTATTCATTGAATATTGTAGTTCCTTCATCATTTTAATGTGTGTCTATTCTCTTTTTATTAAAAGCAAACCTCCTCATCACCTCTCAGCTCATTTTGGGCTCTATTTAAATCCTAACCTTACTGGCAATATTTTATAGGCTTTCAAACATTAAAAGAACAACTTAATGCTTTCATGTAAATTAATTTCCTATGGGAAAAAGGACATGGAGATGGCACAGAAAGAAGAGGAGAACAATGGCTACGAGATACTACAGCAGCTGTCACCACGGAGAGATACTGACAGAAAAATTGGCAGTTAAGTTGAGACAAGATTTATTAATAAAGATTCATGAATAAGGAATACATCTACATGACAAAAAAATATTAACTAAACAAAAAATACTACAACAAGGATTTTCAAATCTTTCAGGTTACACAGGATATGGCACAACGCTAAAATTTTGGACGGTTTCAACTTGCCCCAGATTAATTACTGATGGATTAGTAACAGAAAACAAGTTGCACATTAATTCACTAGGATGTAATTATTGCTCTCTTTACAAAAGAGAAGATGTTTGTCATAGTTGTATTTGGAAGTCCCTAGCTGTGCTTGTAAAATATCTGGAGCAGTTAATTTCAAAAGGTCATTGCATTATGTCATAATAAAGCCACATACATGGAAATGCTTTAATAAAATGAAATCTCAAACATTTAGACACTATTTTGAACACCAATGCCTTGGAGGCAGAACTCAGGAAAGGCCAGAAGAAGGGCTGTAAAACAGAGAAGTGGGGAAAAACTCTTAACAGGTCTGCCACTCCCGGCACTCGCGACACTTTTGTGGAACTCTTCATGCCAAGGCTCTTAGAAAAACTGTTACAGAACCAAACCATAGATATGCTCTATAAGCATATCATGATTAGACTAACTTAATCTATGGGGGCTAATTTTTCAATGTGCTAATAATTATTGTAATACCCTTTTATTTTTCTCCAAGCCTTCTGAGCCCTCAAGACATAAAAATTAAAGCTTATAAAGAGTACAGTTTACATAATTTTTTAATACTAAGAAAAGTTTTTTATATCACTTTATAAAGAATAGAAAGTATCCAATGCAACTGCAATCAAAGACTAAAAGAAATCAGATACAGGATCAGATACAAGTCTAGAAAAGAATTTAAAGAACAGTTGGTATTCAACAGGAATTTGAAGGTGAGCAGTTTGGTAAACAGCATTTACGAGACTACTACTCTTGTTAGCAGTTGTTTATTGAAAATATGAGGCCATAAGAAAGTAATTTTCATTGCTTCATTTTTGGTGTAATTGTGCAAAACTGAAGTAAGTAAGTCAGACCACAGCATGGACCAGAAATTAGAAAGTAAGACCAGCATGGGTGCTCCTCTTCAGAACTGTGTTGCTTATCCTTTCACTGGATTTTTCTCTTTTAAGATGGTGGTAACAAAACAACACCACATTATCCATTTTAGATAAACTGGGGGCAAGGGGAAATAAGACAAAGGGGGAGACAACTGTGACTGAAGGGGGAGGGCAAGTCTGAAATGTCAAGATCAAAAGCTTTTCTCATGAGACCAACAGATAACTTAATATAAAAGGAGCAAGAGAAAAGATTTAGTTAAATTATGAGTTTCTTTTTCCACCTGCTAGCCAGTGTTAATGCCAGCTCCACTGGCAGTGAGAAACCAGCAGACATTTACAGGTACAGAAATGGAGAGACACATGGTAGATAAATATTGAGGATCAGTTTTGTCACATGAGCTGTGTAGATGTACTTCAAAACCTTGGAGGAGAAAAAGAAAACTACCAACTGCGGGGAAAAAAAAAAACAACAACAACACAACAACAACAAAAACCTAAACACCAAAAAACAGAGGAATGGAGGATTGAATCTTGAAAGGTTTTCTTCTGATGCTGTGTAAATGACAGAAGCAGCACACAAGAGAAAAATCACAGAAATGCACAGAGTCAATAGGGAACGCGTTGAGGGTGTAGAAAAAGCAAACCTTGGAAGCAGGATCGTAATTGCAGGGAAGATGTTGGCAGATGACTTTTTTTTCTTCCAAGTACAAACATAGACTGGTTTGGGTTGGAAGGGACCTCTAAAGGTCACCTAGTCCAACCCCCCTGCAGTAAGCAGGGAAAAGAACTACTTGACATCAAGTTTTACAGCAGGAAAAGAAGAAAGAAGGGAAAAAGCAAAAAGGGTTTAAGAAGATTGGAAGGTAAAGAAAAGGAGTGGCTTAGAACAAAACTTGAACATGTTTAGGAGAAAACAATTCAAGAGCAAAGGGAAGCAATAAAGTGAAGGAACTGACTGGATTTGTGTTTTGTCCTTGGTCAATTCAACCACACAAGAGCAGAAAGAGCTGTAGTCAAAGCAGAGTCAACTAAGGCCAAGGATTAGATTAACAAACAGCTTGTTTCAACTGCAGAGGGATCGATTCAAAAGTAAAGGGAGGGTAAGGCTGAAGCATTGATGGATCCTTTTATGTCATTCTGTATTTCTGAAGAACCCAGTTAATTTAATCTACATATGATATGAAAATATCAAAACTAATCCCAGTAATAAGAAAGCTCTGGTGACTCATCACAGTATTCAAATTAATACATGCAGCAATCTAAGTTCATTATTTCTAAAAAATCTTCTTGGATTATGGATAACACTCAATTTCTTTTTTTCAGGGGTTTCTGTAGAAGTATCAACTGTTCTACTGCTACCTTAATCATTTACTTCAGATGACCCTGGAAAGCAGTATGTGACTAAATCAACTTGCACTCTGAAAAGTACTGACCATTAGAAAATATGAAAGCTGCTTAGAAGTCATCAAAGATTTATAAGCTTCTTTGGTTAAGTATTACAAAAAAATAAAAAAACCCAAACAAATACTTTGTTTTAAATATTTTGTTTGGATACGACAGTCTCTGTAAGTGCTACAGAAGCAACTAAATACTCAGGTGATTAAGAAACACTGGATCTAATCCTTTCACTGTATCTGTGTCCAGACATTTAAATTTCACTCTTGTTTATCTGGAACATTTTAAAAACAGACTTAATGATGAATACATCTTAGACAATCTTTTTCCTAATATGCTTGCATATAATCCTAAAATAGGAGAAATAACAATTGGTCATCACACCATTACAAATAGAGCTGAGAAGGAAGAAAAATATCAATTCCTAGTTTAAGCAATTTGAAGCCTTTGTAGTGTACATTGTAGCACATTATTTACCATTCACATTATCAGAGTTCTTGCACTATTTCTATTTCAGAGGTCTGCAATTATTTTCCATTGTTTGAATTAATATTATTCTTCATATCATCCCACAAATACTTATTATGGTTGGCAAAGTATAGCAGAATATAAAATTTTAGTAAAATCATTGATGATCTTCATATTCCCATTAGCTTAGCTGGGAATGAGTCTTTGCATAATGGATAACTACATTCGATTTCCCACTAACCAGGAAGTAAGAAAGTTTGTCAGATGGAGAAGTCAGTATTTGGATATTATGGATATATCAAAACAGGGCAAAAATGGCCTTCCCCCCCCCACCCCCGAATTTTAACTTTCAATCGATCACTTCCAATTTCAAGGAAAAAAAATACAGAAAATTCCAAACAATTCCATACACCAGACCCGGCAAAAAATGTGTATCAGTCCATTGAGTCATGTTAACAGCCAGATTCTATCACTCTTACCTTTATGCTGTGAGAGGTGTATTTGTGGAATTAAAAATGCCAAAATCCAACTCTATTGAAAAAAAATCTGCTGGAAAAAAACTATATACAGAACTAAAAATTTCAACTGAAGTATTTCAGTTCCTAAATCCTGAGCCAAAACCAGCTTGAAAGTAGTCCAAGACTATACATCCAATTGTGGATATTTTATCAATGACACTGGGGACACAATCTGGTTCCAGTGCCATGCCATGTTGTCAGTACACAATTACAGAAACAAAAATCTTTAAAATGGGAATGAATTATAAAACATCACTGTCCATATAGGCAATATAAAAAAAGGTTTTATGTGGGACAGATGCCATTAAAATTTCATCTATTTTGCCACCAAACTACTACCGTTGTTACATGGTATTTTGACAGTTGAAGATAAATAATCTTGCAGACTGATTAAATAACAGCCCCATTTTTGAAGCAGTAATACACAATAAATTTTCCAGAAATCAACACGATGTATGCATAGCACATACATATATAATTGTGTAAAACAGAAAACACTTACCTCACCAAGTCTTTATATAAAGCTTTTGTAGTTTCTAAGTATGGGCCAACTACATCTTCAAACTGGCAAAGAGCTCCTCCAATGCAAAGATGCTTAAAAAGGCAGAACAGAAATTCCTGGCGATCTGATTGACTGAATAAGTCATAATAGTCTGAATCTTCCAGAAGCAAGAGCTTGTGGAACAAGAAAATAACAAAGAAGTCAAATAGATGAAAATTTCTTATTTGAGACTGTTTTACAAACAATGCAGCTATTTTGCTCTGTCACACAGTTTAGATCCATGTAAAACATACAAATTCAGAATGGAAATAAATATGTACTTCTGTCTAAGTCCTTCTTCCAATGACACAATTATGTCCAGAATTTATAGACACAATGTAAAGCAGAATCACTGTCAGATTTGTGCCCACAAGACATAAGTGAATATTTTTTCAAGAGTTTTGTTATTCACTGGTTAATTGTTCAGCATGCTGATGAAACAATCAGCAATCTGAAAATAATCTAGCTCTATTTGGTATGTTGATCAGTGCTGAGTACTTTGTCTTTGGTAACTTTGCCTACGTTTGCTTTTTTACTCTAAGTTTATGCAGCTATCCCACATTTGTAAGGGAATCCCAAGGATCTCCCAGAGGAGAACACTCAAACTCACATCATTCCTTACTGCAGACTGTAGTGAGCCTTTGTCTGTGGTCTGGATTAACCACACACTATCCAGCCGCCTCCATGTGTCTCACCTGCCTTTTGCTGCAATATGGTGTGAACACAGAGGACGTGCTAGATTAGTCCCAACACTGTGCACTGTAACGGTGGCCAGGAATCCTAACTCAGTATGGCTACAAGATGTTTGATTCACTGCAGATGCCAACCTAGGCAAGCTGGTCAAGGCTAGACATGAGTTTACTGCTCTCCAGCCCTTTATAACATCATTGCACAACCTGAGTAAAAAGGGGTCAGGGCAGCTACTGTTGTTGACAGCCACCTCATACGTGTCCCAGCTTCCTCTTGGCTGAAGCAAGCTAAGACGTGGCAGGTTGGAAAGAAACGTGGAGTTCTGGAGTGGAGGACCACCCTCCGGTGCTGGGAGACAGACGGTTTGCTGCCCCCTGCAGTCTGCTCTCCCAGGGCACTGACTAATTTAATGCAATGTTTACACATGGTTTCTGGAAGATTTTGACTCAATTCTTTCCACCATCTTAGGTCTTAAGAGTAGGAATCACATTCATTTTAAACAAATGTGGATCCTTCAGCCTGCAAATGCCAACACACAACATCCCTTCCAAGGGAAGGAAAATGTAAAGAGACTGAAACACCAATAATTTCTTATTTTAAATGTTGCCTCTAATTTTCCTACATCTAATATTCTTAACTTTTAGAAAACACTTCACATGTACCCAGCTTATAAAAAAATACATAATAGTTTGAACTGCTAGGCTACAAACCACATCTGAAATTCAAACCTGAGTTTTGAGTTCTCCCCTTTTCCCAGAACTTTACAAGACAGACCTGTATTTCAGGCCACATCCTGTAACCAGTGTCACTGGTTCAAATACGTTGCCTTCAAAGGATTTGCCAACTGCAAAAGACTGCAACTCTATAATTATTAAGTACTTATGTTGATTATATATACAAGGAAGAGCAAAATCCAGTTCTCCCACACTAGGCTTTGCTAATGCTAAACAAGCATACGTAATAAATTTGGTTTAGTTTATGAAGTCAAAAGAAACACAGTGAAGACATACACTGATTAAGAAGGTGCCACTCTTAGATTCTTTTTAGAGTAATCTGCTCTCTGACACCTCCACTGGAACATAACAAACAGTTTTTACCCTGCAGTCCTGTTTGGGAGTTCTGTTTAGTCCTTGTCCAGAGTTACACTTTTCATAGTTTGATCTCCTTTGTTTCAGTGAAAATACATGAAGTTATATAATACATGATATATAATCCACGAAGCACAAATACAGACTGGGTAGAGTATGAATTGAGAGCCATCCTGAGGAGAAAGACTTGGGGGTGCTGGTTGATGAAAAGCTCAACATGAACCAACAATGTGCAAGTACAGCCCAGAAAGCCAACTGTATCCTGAGCTGTATCAAAGGCAGCATGGCCGGCAGGTCGAGGGAGGTGATTCTCCTCCTCTACTCTGCTCTGGTGACACCCCACCTGGAGTACTGCGGCCAGCTTTGGAGATTTGGACAACACAGGGAGATCATGGACCTGTCAGAGCAGGTCCAGAGGAGAACCATGAAGCTGATCAGAAGGCTGGAACACCTCTCCTATGAGGACAGGCTGAGAGAGTTGGGGTTGTTCAGCCCGGAGAAGAGAAGGCTCTGGGGAGACCTTCTTTTAGCCTTCCAGTACCTGAAGAGGGTCTACAAGAAAGCTGGGGACTCTTCACAGGGGCTTGTAGTGACAGGACAAGGAGTAATGGGTTCAAACTGGAAAAGGGCAGATTTAGATTAGAAATTAGAAGGAAGTGCTTAACTATGAGGGTGGTGAGACACTGGAACAGGTTGCCCAGGGAAGCTGTGGATGTTCCATCACTGGAGGAGTTCAAGACCAGGTCGGATGGTGCCTTGCAGAACCTGGCCTAATGGGAGGTGTCTCTGCCCATGGAAGAGTGGTTGGAACTAGATAACCTTTAAGGTTCCTTCCAACACAAACCATTTTATGATTCTATGATTCTACAGTTACTTACCTTAAATGCCTTCATACACTATATGGTCAACATTCCTGGCCAGAAATGCTTCAGGATTTTGCTACTGACTACATTCAATTTCAGCAGCTACTGGGAAGATTAGGTGAACCCATGGCTCTGGGTATCATGAGACCTTGCCATTTTCACCATTTGTTTTCCCCTCCTAGGAAAATGAGCAACTGCATTTCCCCCAACATCACCCCCAAGCACTGACTGCTTGAAACAAGGGCAGGTAGAAGTAGGTTTTACCTTTTTCTCCCACCTAAAATGGAAAGAGGGCCCACCTGGAACACAGCCATTGCTTTCACACATTCAAGCACTGCAGCACCTCAGTTATTTCTATCAGGTGGCTTCCAGTGTCCATTTTTACCATGGAAAGCATGTAGCGTCAGACAAAAGAAAATCAGAAACGTGTCCTCACTATACCTAATAAAGAATGAAAAATTATAATGAATTATTCATTGCTATACTGACCTTCCTTAATTCGTCAGAGATGAGAACATCATCGTAATACTCATCATAACATTTCACAATATCTCCAGTTTCTCTAACAACTCCTTCAGAGTAGAGCCGATCAAAGAATGACATGGAAATCTGTGTACAGGGCACCACTGTAGCTTCGGTTTTTGTCACTTTGGAACCTAGAACATATAGGAAGGTTTTACTCCAAGCCTCTTGCAATAAATAAAATAGAGGAATTTCCATGTACTAATAGTTTTACAGTAGTTTGTAATTCAATACAGTGTGGAAATAACTTCTCTAAATGGCTGTGTGTGGCATATTCTCTAAAGAAAATACAGATGGAAGTAAGTATGACTCAAATCACAGAGTCCCTCAAAGAAAACAAAACAAGCTCAGAAAGAAACAAGCGTAAAGAAAACATCCAACTCAACGTGAAGGCTACCTCTTCCATTAAGGCCCATGTATCTGCTCCCCCTGTTGGTAACAGTATCAACAGAGACGAGTCATAGGTGAAACACCAAGTGAACCCAACATCACATCAGATCGCACCCTCAGAAAAGCATATTCTACAGCTTAAGCCAGGAAGGATCTGAGGACAAATACCAATTTGGCAAGATGAAGTGAAAAAGTCAATAGCCGCTAAGAGCACCCCACAAAGTAAAACACAAAATGAACACAGCCCTGACGACTTTTTGGTTTGGGAAGCTAGCTTTGAAAAGTTAGTATGAAGTTACTGGAAACTTTGTTAACCATCTATTTCAGAAGATGGAAAAGGTACTATCAGCACTTCTTGTAAGAATCTGGAGTATTATCTCTGTAATCATTAAGCACAGAGTACATTGTTCTGTAAATCTGCTGTGCTTTTAAGTCATCCCGTTGCTTAAAGACATCTAGTGCCATTTGAGATGCCCTGCAGTATTTTCCTTAACGAGGTATCAGTCCATAAGGGCACGTATCTTCTCTATATACAGCCTTACATCTACAAATCTGTATGTGTGGTGTTGGATAACTTGCAGCATCTCAAATAACATTAGACTCCACGTTTAAGAAGCTTTGGACTCAGTCCAGTTCCACCTCTTCTCTACAGTCCAAGGGTTCAGACCAAATGGTAGGACATATTCTCTACTCGTCTCCAGGTTCCCCTGAACACCCTTCAAAGTGCTTCTGAAAAGGAGAGAGGAAGAGAGCATGAGTGAGCACGAGTGAGCATGCAACACACAGGCAACCTGTCAGCACAGGGACGTTGACAGCTCTCCAGCCTTCCATGAGTTGATTCTTTTCTCCTCTACAGGTTCCCTTGATGGGAGACTGGCCAACAACATCACAGTACCAAAAGGCTTTTGACCACACAATTAAAGATAAAATTAAGTGGTGTCCTGACAAACTGACCTGAAAGATCACTAAAGATGTGGTTGAGGAAATGTCCAAATTTCTCTAGAGGACAGTATTTCAGTGACAGAAACATGCCAGAAACAGATGTATGAGCCATGATGTTTCCAAGAACACCTATCATTTCATTGTGATCCTAGTCTTTGCAAGCATAGCATAACCTAAAATTTCTCTTGTCCCCACACTTTGAAAAACTTCTTGGGATTTCTCCCACATATTATTACATGGAGATTATTTATTCATAGGTTAAGTAAGACTGGCATTTTGGCATCTAAACACAGGCAAGCTGTACAACCTACCTGACCAACACAAAGAAACAAATTAAAAGAGAAGTTACAAGTTAATAACTTGAAAATATGTCTACTTAAGCTAAAAATACTGGCATGAAAAGTTACAATTCTATTGGGTCAATGATATGTAAAGAAAATCAGCTGTAGAGCAAACTTCAGCATTTAATTGCTTGGCTTCACATCTACAGATATAGTTATGAAAACAAGATAACATTTATTAGAGGAAAAGTTTTAGGACATTTTCCTACCTGTCCACATAGAGATTCTCAGATCATAATCAAATTATATATCCAATATCACAAGTCAGAAAAAGCATGATCTACAGCTTCACAGCCTAAGAAAACCAAACTGATTTTTATTTATTTATGGTCTCTCCCACCTCCTCACCTCCAGCCTCCTCTAACTTCTAATTCTCCAGCTTCCTTTCACCAGGATAGAACTTTAATTTTGTAAGAGATTTAATAAGAGTTAAATCAGCCTCTAACACAGAAATTATTTTGTAAAGACCAATGAATCAAAAACTGAGTCAAGACTAATAAAAATCAGATGTTAAATGACTTGGAAAGATAAAGAGACATCTTACACTTTCCTAGTTATTGAGCTCAGAGTATAAGAAATTGAGCTACTTACAGGCCTTCAAATTGTTCAGACTTAATTGGGACAGGGGAAAGGAAAGGAGACACACTTCTGCTCTGAAACAAGATTTTATGAAAACTTTCATCAGGAAAAAAAAATCAAGAGCTTTGTAATCTACTCCGTTGTTCAGAAACCCAAACTATAAATAGAAAAGTTTAAATATACTGGAAGCTCCTACTCTCCTTTCGAGAGGTGAGATTTGAAATTGGAGATTCAGAATTTCCTGGAAAATAGTGACCCGTTTTAATAACACTGTAAAACTGAGCAATAAAACAGGAAGAAGAAATGCCTTGACAACTCTGCCAGTGAAAAACGAAAAAGCTGAGAAGTACTGAAGCAGATAAGTTTCTTATAACAGCTAGCTCTAGAGTATCTATAGTGATGACAATATACTTTAAATGAGCACATTCCATATCTAGTATGGGGCAGATAACTCCCAGAGTAGGTATATTTAGAATTCCTCCAAAGTTTAAGAAAGACTTTTACTTCAGGGAAATATCTCACAAGTCACTATTTACAAAAACAATTTATACAGAACATATATAATACAAGTTCAGTGCACTGTACTCAAAAGAAGGTATTTCAAAAGTAAAAGGTGTAGTTAATCATTTGTAGGTTCAAATGACATCTAAAATTTTTGGAAATGACAACATGTAAAAGTAGCCTAGAAAATTGCTGATTTAAGATTACCTTCCAGATTAAAAAAAATAATTCCAAAGACAGCAATCACTAGAGCTTCAAGTACATATGGCAGCTCAAGGATCTTAGGCAAATACTACGTTTCTATTTCTACAAAAAGACAGTAACCCTATCCTATTGAAGATAACCTTTCAAGTGTTAATTGAGCTTAAGCAGACACAGTCCTGCCTCCCCAGGACTGCTGACAGGTGCAAGGCCAGTAATGCATCCCAGGAAAAACTACCATTTAGTTTTCATGGCAGCTATTTAAAAATACAAGACTCAAGACATAAACTGGTATGCGTCACATTTGTTCCTTTTGCTGCTTCTATTTGAGAAACATGAGAAGAAGAGGTGAAGGGAAGGCTTATAGCACAGGACAGACCTATCAGGTACTTTGCCATGCATCCAGAAAGAGGGGGAAAAAATATCCCTACTACAAAAGGCAAAAAAGTGTGGTGTGAGACTACGTGATGTGACCACGGAATCTGTCTGATCAGATGAGGCAGGCTAGAGAATACCCTCATGTATCGTTCACCTAAAAATGTTACATGTCAAGTAACATGAAAGCTTGAGTCCTTGAGACAACATACTGCTGTGGGAGTCCATCAGGAATCCCAGCATGTGGGGGAGATGAGAAGAGAGGTTCTAGTAGCAATCCTTGGGGATCCCATGTGTTATGCCACCTTTTGATCTAGCAGATGGAGATCGAGGATATTACAGTCTGATAAATACTAAGGTGAGGACTAAAACCAGTCAAGAGAAATCAAAAATTAGATTTGACACAGGGCAAAAAAAAATAAGGAGATAGACAACTAGCAGAGAAGAGGTAGATATAAATATGAATGTGAAACCACGCTCACTGAATTAAAAAGAAAAATAAATTCTCAGTGAGAAGGGAACCACTGCCTGGAAAAAAGATAAAAGGATTATAAAAACAAACACTCTTGTAAAGTAACATTCTGCTGATGTTTTATATAATGCTGACCTCTTCCTGTGGGTCCATAAATACTTTGTGCACAAGTTCATGTTAGAGAAGAGAAGAGAGGTTTCTAAAAAGCTATCTACACCCCACTTACATTATGCAACCAAAATACCTTCTCCCCTGGGAAAAGCAAAAAGTTTTTTGCTTTTTCGTTTACAAGTGAATACAGTATTTCAATCAACCTAGACTATGTAATTTTCTTCAGATTTTTCTAAAAAGCAAAGGAAGCCAATTTCTAGTAGTTTCTTTCAAGAACCAGAACTTGTTCTTAAGTTACTCCTCAGTGATAAGTAAATGGTGTATTTGGATTAAGATATCAGTATGTCTGAAAGAGATAATACGAGAAAATTTTTTTTATCTCCTCCCACTGAAAGCTAATTCTTACTATATTTTTTAAAAATGCATATGAAGACTAAGTATAGAAAAATTTACCAACATTCCTCACCAAAAATAGGCAAAGAATGGGAAGATGAGATTTTAAGAGCAAATAGGGTATACCAGCTGTTCAGGACTCAGAAAGGGAACCCTTCTAGTGCTCAGAACAAAACGCACTATGTCTGTGCTGAGGGAGAGTGAGCAGAATCAGGAGTTAAGCTGGGAGACTTAGCAAGTGACCCTCTGCTCTCAACAGGAGGTAGGTAGCCTACTGACCTTCACTACAGGGACTGGCAAGTCGTAGGTTAGACAGCCTAAAAAATTCTTGCCTAAAGCAGGAAAAAGTTTACCCACGGTTTGAAATACATTTCTTTCTGCTTGCCAGAGTGAAAATAAGGTACCTGGTGGTACACTTGAGATGCTTTTTGCATCTTATGTATTTCAGTTGTTTTAACAGCCAGATACAGTGTTTGGAAAATGGATTTTGCTGACAAAAAGGTGACAATGTCTAGTGTCACTCTATATAGCAGGGAAAACCCATGCCAGTTTCAGAGAGCTGAAATGGAAGAGGCAGAAAATTCCTGAAGCTCCATTAAATATCTACAGACAAACAGAAAGAACTGAGGACTTCCCACCGTCCCCTTTTAAATAGTCCTGTAAAGAAAAATCACTTTGATGATATCAGAGTTCACATTATGCATAAAATCCCATTACATTATCCCATGCAATATCAATGAAATTCCATGTGAAATAAAATTTCACAGTGGTGCCATAAAATCATGCTACTTGCTTCTGGTCTTTCTCCTATAGTGTCTCATCTCCATCTACAGGCATAATCAAGCCTTATAACAAAGTAGAAGCCAACCTCATGCCATGACTGCAACTAGAGCAATACACCTCTCCTGCACCTCGATCACTTTTGTTTGCACACGTGTTTACACAGGCTCGGGGCTGTGCCCTCTCTAACCTTCTGCTCTCTCTAATTTGTTAACAGAGCAATAATCTCAGATCCATACTAGCTAAAGTGGCTGCATCTGCAGAAGAGTGTCTTTCTCCAAGTATTATCTGAGTAAACTAGTAGTGTAATTCCACCATTAATGCAGTTGATTATGTCTGCATACATGATCAGGTCAGCTGGATGTCACAGCATTTAAAAACAATTCTAGTAGCTTGGTCTGTGCATTGATGCATGGGTCAAGGAAAAAAGTGTAACATGTGACAATTTAGTAACAAACTAGGTAAGACAGTTTTCTTAATATTTAGTAAAAGAAGTAATTTTTTAAGATATTTCAGCCAGGTGAAAATACACATATACAAACTGTCATTATTACAAAATGGTAAACTAGAGGAAAATAGTTACAACACAGACTATTTCATTTAAGATTAATTTATTCTAAATTTACCCAATGTAGTCCACTGTCCTGAAGCTGAAAGCAACTTTAAACTGGAGTTCACGTTTTCATCATTAAAAAATGCCTATAATATTCAAATAAGAGAATACAAGTTAATGAAATGAAACACAAAATCACCATTCATAATGCCTTGGCTACTTCCAAAGCAAATTATAAGAATCCAATTAGTAAGTAGACTCAGTGTTATCTTTCAGTTTGGATACTAAACATCACACCACCAAATACATGTTTTTCTACCTTTGTGTAGCTAGTGTCTTATGCATTCAAGATACCTTCATGTACATATTTATATATGTGGTATTAAGGTTTTACAGTAAAGCACTTTTAGTTGAAGGACACACAAAACAAGGTTGTATGAGATCCTTGGAGGTATAGAAAATGGAAGAAGAGATACATGCAACATTGTTGAAGTGAAAAATGAAATGCTAAGTATGACTGTAAAATTTATATTTTGTAAATAAATGTGTAACTTGGAGAAGTGTAGAGACAGAAAAATCATTAAACAGATGCAGAAGAAATGTGTAAGTTACTGAAGAGATGGAGAAGATGTTCCACAGTAAGATTTGAAGTGTTCAATCTTACTGATTTATCATTTAAAAAAAAAGAGACATTCATAGCAATGTGGTAGCTGTTAAGCTTGAATTATAAGGCAATTAAGAAAATCCACAGTTACATATATGCATACAAGCAAAGTGAACAATTACTGAGGAAGTTGCTATGAACATGATAGATTTTTCAGTCTCTGCATCACCAAATCTCTTTACTACCTCTCTATTGGATTACATAATGTAATGGTCCCTTTGTTCTCAATTAATTCACAGCTACTCAGAGTTCATCATTTCATAGTGACATTCTTACATTTTAATTCAAAAGAGACAGGCACTTGAGAATGTAAGTCAACATTCTGTAAACTTCAATAATTTGAAATGTCTGTTAGTGGGAGATGAACTATGCGGCTATTTCTGATATAAATTTCTTTAAAACGCAAAGAGGCTGAATTCTTTATCCAGGATAACAATGTAGACATAAACCACAACAAAGAGTTGTTTTTAAATCAACAGATATGAAAACCACACTGTTTTTGAAACCACTGATTTTTTTTTTTTTGTCTGCAAATAGATGAACTGATTTGACTTTGTATACAAAATGAAGGACACAAAAACAGATGAGTCTCAAAAAGCTGGGTGACTAAAGTTCCAGCAATGATATCCAATAAATGTTTAAATGTTGTATTTTCAGATCCATGATGCATATGCACATCCATTTGCACAGTGTATTTACTGTGACAATGCAGCAAAAGCTCCAAGCAAAGGTACCAATTGCATGTGTGCTGCCTAAAATCTCCCCCAGATGGACTTTCCAGCATTAAATGCAGTGGCCAAGATCTGCATCCAGTTCAGATTCCTACTCTTGGGAATCCTGAATAACTAAATTGTTCCCTCTCAAATCAGAGTAACGGCAGTACAGACTAAAATATTTTTACTGCACAATACAGCTAGCCCACAAAGTGAGACTTGAGCACCACACCTAAATCACCTACTTCCAAGGAGACAGTGAGCAGGCATATAGAACGCTAACACTGCTACCGTGTTGGCCATTGCGCAGTTTTTAAATAGCTCTAATTTAACGGAAAAAAAGCCAACATAAAATATAAAGGACTCAGAACTACCATAACAAATTCATCCTTTTGATAGGGCTTAAAGTGCTGGTCGAAACCGAACGCTTGTGCTGTGATCCTGCCTTGCATAGACCTGAAATGAAAAAATGAGGAAATATTCTGCAGCCATGCTAGCTACTTAGTCTGTAAATTTGCCTAGGTGCGCTACATAAAGTCCTATTCTGAACAGTAATTACACTTTTTTCTTTTTTTCCTTGCCAATTCTATAGCCACCTCCCGCCCCTCCTTGTGTGCCTGGGGGAGCACAACCCCTGCCGAGCTGGAACAGCTCCCGCCCGTCTCTAGGGAACAAGGACAGCCGCCTCGCTCCTCACGACACGTTTCCGTGCCCGGAAAGTCCTGAGGAGGGCGAGGGGTACCGGGGAGGGAGGGCGGGAGGGCAGGAGGGCCCCGGACCCAGCTCGCCCCCTCCCCTCCCCT